GAGTGACTTATTTCCATTGTCTTCACTAAGAGCTTCATTTCTTCTAAAAATGGTGTTACATGAGAATGGGAGTGGTGTTCTTTATTTATCCTACCATATCAATGTAGAGACAACTTGTACACAATGTAACTTGTACACAAACCAGACGTATACACTTTGTTTACAAAACTTACGTTCACCTGATTTGTGTACATAACTCTGCGCCTGTCCTCCCTCATGTAATCATTCTCTCTCTCTCTCTCATTTATTCGTTTTATCTTGTTTACTCGCCCCTGACCCTACATTAAGACTACAAATATTTTAAGGTAAGTAATGAGTGAACTGTGTATGCATTTTATCGCTCTGGGATGCTTAAATGTCATAGAATAGTATGTGGGGGTGGGGTGGCCTGGTATGGTAGCCCGGCTGACTACCATACATACCACACTTGATTTCTTACAATAAATACTACTCATCTCACCCTAGATTAAGACTACAAATATTTTAAGGTAAGTAATGAGTGCACTGTGTGTATTGTACTTTTTTATCGTTTTTTGATGCCTAGTTCTATTGCTAAATTAATATGTTAGTGTAAACTTATCTAGTATTTATATGCATTTATAAGGGGGGAAAAAAGGGTGTTCCACTTTACGGCGATTTCCGCTTTACGGCGGTAGCCTGGAACCTAACCTGCCGTATAAGTGGGACCCTACTGTGTGTATATTATATATATATATATATATATATATATATATATATATATATATATATATATATATATATATATATTTTTTTTTTTTTTTTTTTTTTTCAACAAGTCGGCCGTCTCCCACCGAGGCAGGGTGACCCAAAAAAGAAAGAAAATCCCCAAAAAGAAAATACTTTCATCATCATTCAACACTTTCACCACACTCGCACATTATCACTGTTTTTGCAGAGGTGCTCAGAATACAACAGTCTAGAAGCATAAACATATAAAGATACACAACATATCCCTCCAAACTGCCAATATCCCAAACCCCTCCTTTAAAGTGCAGGCATTGTACTTCCCATTTCCAGGGCTCAAGTCCGACTATATGAAAATAACCGGTTTCCCTGAATCCCTTCACTAAATATTACCCTGCTCACACTCCAACAGATCGTCAGGTCCCAAGTACCATTCGTCTCCATTCACTCCTATCTAACACGCTCACGCACGCTTGCTGGAAGTCCAAGCCCCTTACCCACAAAACCTCCTTTACCCCCTCTCTCCAACCCTTTCGAGGACGACCCCTACCCCGCCTTCCTTCCCCTATAGATTTATATGCTTTCCATGTCATTCTACTGTGATCCATTCTCTCTAAATGACCAAACCACCTCAACAACCCCTCTTCTGCCCTCTGACTAATACTTTTATTAACTCCACACCTTCTCCTAATTTCCACACTCCGAATTTTCTGCATAATATTTACACCACACATTGCCCTTAAACAGGACATCTCCGCTGCCTCCAACCGTCTCCTCGCTGCTGCATTTACCACCCAAGCTTCACACCCATATAAGAGTGTTGGTACTACTATACTTTCATACATTCCCTTCTTTGCCTCCATAGATAACGTTTTTTGACTCCACATATACCTCAACGCACCACTCACCTTTTTTCCCTCATCAATTCTATGATTAACCTCATCCTTCATAAATCCATCCGCCGACACGTCAACTCCCAAGTATCTGAAAACATTCACTTCTTCCATACTCCTCCTCCCCAATTTGATATCCAATTTTTCTTTATCTAAATCATTTGACACCCTCATCACCTTACTCTTTTCTATGTTCACTTTCAACTTTCTACCTTTACACACATTCCCAAACTCATCCACTAACCTTTGCAATTTTTCTTTAGAATCTCCCATAAGCACAGTATCATCAGCAAAAAGTAACTGTGTCAATTCCCATTTTGAATTTGATTCCCCATAATTTAATCCCACCCCTCTCCCAAACACCCTAGCATTTACTTCCTTTACAACCCCATCTATAAATATATTAAACAACCATGGTGACATTACACATCCCTGTCTAAGACCTACTTTTACCGGGAAGTAGTCTCCTCTCTTCTACACACCCTAACCTGAGCCTCACTATCCTCATAAAAACTCTTTACAGCATTTAATAACTTACCACCTATTCCATATACTTGCAACATCTGCCACATTGCTCCTCTATCCACTCTATCATATGCCTTTTCTAAATCCATAAATGCAATAAAAACTTCCCTATCTTTATCTAAATACTGTTCACATATATGCTTCAATGTAAACACCTGATCTACACATCCCCTACCCACTCTAAAACCTCCTTGCTCATCCGCAATCCTACATTCTGTCTTACCTCTAATTCTTTCAATTATAACCCTACCGTACACTTTTCCTGGTATACTCAGTAAGCTTATTCCTCTATAATTTTTACAGTCTCTTTTGTCCCCTTTCCCTTTATATAAAGGGACTATACATGCTCTCTGCCAATCCCTAGGTACCTTCCCCTCTTTCATACATTTATTAAACAAAAGTACCAACCACTCCAACACTATATCCCCCCCTGCTTTTAACATTTCTGTCATGATCCCATCAGTTCCAGCTGCTTTACCCCCTTTCATTTTACGTAATGCCTCACGTACCTCCCCCACACTTACATTCTGCTCTTCTTCACTCCTAAAAGATGGTATACCTCCCTGACCAGTGCATGAAATTACTGCCTCTGTTTCTTCCTTAACATTTAAAAGTTCCTCAAAATATTCTCGCCATCTACCCAATACCTCCATCTCCCCATCTACTAACTCCCCTACTCTGTTTTTAACTGACAAATCCATATTTTCCCTAGGCTTTCTTAACTTGTTTAACTCACTCCAAAATTTTTTCTTATTTTCATTAAAATTTCTTGACAGTGCCTCTCCCACTCTATCATCTGCTCTCCTTTTGCACTCTCTCACCACTCTCTTTACCTTTCTTTACTCTCCATATACTCTGCTCTTCTTATAACACTTCTGCTTTGTAAAAAACCTCTCATAAGCTACCTTTTTCTCTTTTATCACACCCTTTACTTCATCATTCCACCAATCACTCCTCTTTCCTCCTGCCCCCACCCTCCTATAACCACAAACTTCTGCCCCACATTCTAATACTGCATTTTTAAAACTATTCCAACCCTCTTCAACCCCCCCTACTCATCTTTGCACTAGCCACCTTTCTGCCAATAGTCGCTTGTATCTCACCCGAACTTCCTCCTCCCTTAGTTTATACACTTTCACCTCCCTCTTACTTGTTGTTGCCACCTTCCTCTTTTCCCATCTACCTCTTACTCTAACTGTAGCTACAACTAAATAATATATATATATATTTTATATATATAATATATATATATTATATATATATAATATATATATATATATATATATATATATATATATATATATATATTTATAAATAATATATAATTGCATCATTTATTATCTAAATGTGACTCATATATTATTTGACTTACCATAGTATATACTATTTTACTTATAACACTGTTAAGCATTATAAATCACTTTGCTTTAGTAAAGTAGCAGCTCATGTCCAATTTGTGATTAACCATTATTGATTACCATTGTCTCACCTTGCACCACTTTAAACTGCCTAATACTTGTCTACGTTTCTCTCTATTTCTCTTTAATAATACTTCTCTTTCTACTTCTCGTCTCTCTCTTTCTCTAACTTCTCATCATCTCTCTCTTCTCTCTCTCTTCTCTCTCTTTCTCTCTTTCTCTCTCTTTCTCTCTTCTCTCTCTTTCTCTCTCTCCTCTCCTCTTTCTCTCTCTTTCTCTCTTTCTTCTCTTCTTTTTCACTTCTCTCTTTCTCTTTCTTTCTCTCTTTCTCTCTCTTTCTCTCTCTTTCCTCTTCTTTCTCTCCTTTTTCTCTCTCTTTCTCTCTTCTCTCTCTTTCTCTCTTTTTCCTTTCTCTTCTTCTCTATTTCTCTTTCTCTTTCTCTTCTTCTTTTTCTCTACTCTCTTTCTCTCTCTCTTTCTTTCTCCTCTCTCTCTCTTCTCCTTCTCTCTCTTTCTTCTTCTCTTTTCTTTCTCTCTTTATCTCTCTTCTTCTCTTCTCTCTTTCTCTCTTTCTCTTTCTCTCTCTCTTTCTCCCCTCTCTCTTTCTTCTCTTTCTTCTCTTTCTCTCTCTCTTCTCTCTCTCTTCTCTTTCTCTCTCTTTCTTCTTTTTCTCTTTTCTCTCTCTCTCTCTTTCTCTCTTTCTCTTCTTCTCTTTTCTCTTCCTCTCTTCTCCTCTCTCTTTCTCTCTCTCTTTTCTCTCTTTCTCTCTCTCTCTTTCTCTCTTTCTTCTCTTCTCTCTTTCTCTCTCTCTTTCTCTCTCTTTCTCTTTCTCTCTCTTTCTCTCTTTCTCTCTTTCTTCTCTCTTTCTCTCTCTTCTCTTTCCTCTCTCTTCTCTCTCTCTCTTTTCTCTCTCTCTTTCTCTCTTTCTCTCCTTCTTTTCTCTCTTTCTCTTTTCTCTTCTCTTCCTCCTTTCTCTTCTTTCTCTCTTCTCTTTCTCCTCTTTCTCTCTCTTTCTCTCTCCTTTCTTCTTCTCTCTTTTCTCTCTCTTTCCTCTCTCTTTCTCTCTCTCTCTCTTTCTCTCTCTTTTCTCTCTCTTTCTCTCTTCTTCCTCTTTCTCTCTCTTTCTCTCTCTCTCTCTCTTTCTCTCTCTCTCTCTCTTTCTCTCTCTCTCTCTCTTCTCTCTTTCTCTCTTTCTCTTTCTTTCTCTCTTTCTCTTTTCTCTTTCTCTTCTCTTTCTTTCTCTTTCTCTTTTTCTCTTTCTTTCTCTTTCTCTTTCTTTCTTTTTCTTATATTTGGATGTCGTGTAAATTTCAAGATCTAAAAACTTGAAATATATTTAGGGAGGATGCTTTTACCTTCTGAAATTGACACACCATAATTTGAGGGCAAAAAATATTTCTACTAAGTATTTTAATTAAAATGATGGAAAGTTTTTATATTGTCTTTCTTTTTTGTTTAGGAATAAAGCCATAGCTGACTATTTATGCAGCAATGGCTATATGGATGCCTTGGAAGCATTTAAAGCTGAAGCAGACATGCCAGGCGAGATTGAAAGAAAATATGCAGGTCTACTCGAAAAAAAATGGTGTTCTGTTATCAGACTTCAGAAAAAGGCAAGTTCCTTTTTTTTATTTATTAGTTAAACCTCGTTTATCTGGACACAGTACAAGGAAAATGCCAGTCACTAGTTAAACATGAATCCATTTCATCTATGCACGGTGAATATTCTCAGTGTTAAGATTATCTTGTCTTAATGAAAAACTCTTGATCCTTAAGATTCTTGATGAATGAGGTTTGACTAAGTGCATACTCAGATTTTAGCATAATTGTGTGTTCTAAATTTCCACAACAGTTTTACTATTCTTGGAAACTGCATTGCAGTTTGTGTAGGAAGTTGATAGATAAAAACAAGTTTTAATGATGCATGGGTATTATGCTAAGATGTTAACCCTTTGACTGTCGCAACCCCAAATCCTGAGGTGTCTCCTGGTGTCGAAAAATTTTTGAAAAAAAAAAAATATTTTTTCATATGAAATGATAAAGAGAATCTTTTCCTGGTGGTAATGACACCAAAAGAACAAAATTTGATGGAAAACACACAGAGTTACACTCTTGTGAAGTTAGCGACCTCGGCAATATTAACCCTTTCAGGGTCCGTCCCGTAGATCTACGGCTTTACGTTCAGGGTCCAAACCGTAGATCTACGTCATGAGCTCAGCTCACTCTGATAAACTGTGAGTGGTACATTTGGGCCTAGATATGAGAGAATACATCTATGTGGTATATGTGCACCACATAAAACAGATCCTGCGGCTCACTGTGTATAATAAGAGAAAAAAACTGAAATCATGATTTTTAGATTAAAACAGTGACTTTGCAGTGTTTTTTCTTATGTTTTTTTATAGTTGTATTTGCGATTTCTTGGTCTCATTTGATAGAATGGAAGACATATTACAGAAATAGAGATGATTTTGATTGGTTTTAGCACTGGAAATTCCTTGAAACTGAGCTCAAAGTAGCAGAAATGTTAAATTTTTGCCGATATTCAAGAGTAAACAAACGACCTCACACGTCTAATACACGCCAGCTGGTGGGTCTAATATGCATTCACAAATATGGTGATTATATTTATACAATTATTACAGTATTGCATAACAGTAAATCTTCTATTTTTTGGTGTGAATAAAAATTCATTATGTGAATAAAAAATCAAAATGGAATTTATTTGTAAAGCCTCAAATTGTAACTAATGAACAGAGGAAATGTTAGTTTAGTTCCAGGAATACCTACATTGTTTATTCTGGACCCTATTTTGAAATTGAAATATTTTGAACTTTGTGTTAAATTGGCCAAATTAACAATTTCCGATCACTTTATTTTGTAGTTGAAACAGTTGACTTGGCGATTTCTTGTGCTCAATCGATAGAATAGAAGTAATACTAGTGAAATAGCTAAGAATTTGGTTGACTGGAATAATGTAATTGGCCTAAAATGGGAGTCAAAGTCGGCAAAATCGCTGATTGGTAAATATCGCTGACACATCAAAATTCGCGAGAGCATAATTTCGTCAATTTTCCATCAAATTTCGTACTTTTTGTTTTATTACCTTCACAAAAAGATTCTCTACCATTTTATAAGAAAAAATAACATTTTTTTTTAAATTCTTGGACACTGGGGCACCACTTCAGATTTGGGCCTTGGACCCTGAAGGGGTTAAAGAATTGGCGATTTCACTCGCATTGAGCCCTATTTTCAGCTAATTCCATTGTTCCAGTCAACCAAACTCATAGCTATTTCTTTAGAACTCCATCTGTTCTATCAGTTGAGTACAAGAAACTGCTCATTTACTGATTTCAACTACCCAATAACGTGGTCAGAAATTTGCAATTTGGCCAATTTCACGAAAATGTAAAAATACATGACAATTTCAAAATAGGGTCCAGAATGAACAGTGCAGACATTCCTGGCTCTAAAATAACATTTTCTTTGTTCATCAGTCGTGTCTCCAGGCCCATTTTATATTACTATTGCCTTCTATTTTGAATTTTTATTCAAACAAAAATTGGAAGATTTACTGTTATGCAAACTACTGCAATATTGTAATAATTGTATAAATAATGTCGCCCCATTCATGACTGCATATTAGAATGGCTAGTTGGATATTTATTGGAAAGTGACATCATTTGTTTACTTTTGAACATCGGCAAAAATCAAACATTTCCCCTAATTTGAGCTCCATTTCAAGGTTCTTTTCATAGGAAAACCAATCAAAATCACCTCTATTTCTATAATATGTTTTCCATTCTATCAAATGAGACCAAGAAAACGAGAATACAACCATAAATACTATATGAAAATACACCACAAATTCAACGTTTTAATCCAAAAACAGTCAGTTTTTTTTCTCTCATTATGCACTGCGTGCTGCAGGATTTTTTTTATATGGTGCATACTGACCACACAGACTTATTCTCTTACATGTAGGCCTACCAGCTTTCTCCTGCTTGATTTGAAGCCGCTAGAATTTTTGAGTACAGTTGACCCCCGCATACGATGGCATCGGCATACGTTAAATCCGGCATACGATACATTTTATCACAAAACTTTTACCTCGCCACATGTTAAAAAACCTGCCACGTGCGATTCGTCCGGGACACGTCCCATGTGTGTCCTCAGCTGTCCCGTGCGTGCCAGTGTTTACAAGCCAGCCAGTGCAGTTGCATCTAAGCATACATTCGGTACATTCCATATTATCACAGTGTTTTTGGTGCTTGGTTCTGCAAAATAAGTCACCATGGGCCCCAAGAAAGCTTCTAGTGCCAACCCTGCAGGTAAAAGGGTGCTAATTACTATGGAATTGAAGAAAGAGATAATTGCGAAGTACGACAGTGGAGTGCGTGTGTCGGAGCTGGCCAGGTTGTATACCAAACCCCAATCAACCATCGCTACTATAGTGGCCAACAAAATGGCAATCGAGGAAGCTGTTCTTGCAAAAGATGCATGTCTGTTTTCGAAACAGAGATCACAAGTGTTAGAAGATGTTGAGAGACTGTTTTTGGTGTGGATAAATGAAAAACAGATAGGAGATAGCATTTCTCAAGCGATCATATGTGAAAAGGCTAGGAAGTTGCATGAGGATTTAATTGAAAAAATGCCTGCAACTAGTGGTAATGTGAGTGAATTTAAGGCCAGCAAAGGTTGGTTTGAAAGATTTAAGAATCGTAGTGGCATACATAGTGTGATAAGGCATGGTGAGGCTGCCAGTTCGGACCAAAAAGCAGCTGAAAAATATGTGAAGGAATTCAAGGATTACATAAACAGTGAAGAATTGAAACCTGACCAAGTGTTTAATTGCGACAAAATGGGCCTGTTTTGGAAGAAAATGCCAAGCAGGACCTACATTACTCAGGAGGAAAAGGCACTCCCAGGACATAAGCCTATGAAAGACAGGCTTACTCTTCTGATGTGTGCTAATGTTAGTGGTGATTGCAAAGTGAAGCCTTTATTGGTGTATCAATTTGAAACTCCCAGAGCGTTCAGGCAAAACAATGTTGTCAAGGCTAATTTGTGTGTGATGTGGAGGGCAAACAGTAAGGCATGGGTCACTAGGGACCTTTTCTATGACTGGTTATACCATGCATTTGCCCCCACTGTGAAAAATTACCTAATGGAAAAGAAATTGGACCTTAAGTGCCTCCTGGTATTAGACAATGCTCCTGGTCATCCTTCAGACTTGGCAGAGTGACTTTCTATGGACATGAGCTTCATTAAGGTCAAGTTTTTGCCTCCTAATTCCACTCCTCTCCTGCAGCCCATGGACCAGCAGGTCATTTCAAACTTCAAAAAACTCTACACAAAAGCTATGTTTCAAAAGTGCTTTGAGGTGACCTCAGACACTCGGTTGACTCTAAAAGAGTTTTGGAAAGATCACTTTCATATCCTCAGTTGTGTAAACCTTATAGGTAAGGCTTGGGAGGGAGTGACTAAGAGGACCTTGAATTCTGCTTGGAAGAAACTGTGGCCACAATGTGTAGAAGAAAGGGATTTTGAAGTGTTTGGGGCTAACCCTCAGGAGCCTATGCCAGTTGTGGAATCTATTGTGGCATTGGGAAAGTCCATGGGGTTGGAGGTTAGTGGGGAGGATGTGGAAGAGTTGGTGGAGGAGGACAATGAAGAACTAACCACTGAAGAGCTGCAAGATCATCTTCAACAGCAAGAGGCCAGACCTGAGGAAACTGCTTCAGAGGAGCGGAGAGAGAGAAATTGAAGTTGCCTACTTCAAAGATTAAGGAAATGTGTGAAAAGTGGGTTGAACTGCAAACCTTTGCGGATGAAAATCACCCTGACACAGCTACTGCAAGCCGTGTTGGCAACATGTACAATGACAATGTTGTGGCCCATTTTAGGAAAGTTTTAAAGGAACGGGAGGTACAGGCCACTATGGACAGATATGTTGTGTGACAGAGGTCCAGTGACTCAAGCTGGCCCTAGTGGCATTAAAAGAAGGGAAGTAACCCCGGAAAAGGACTTGCTACCTCAAGTCCTAATGGAAGGGGATTCCCCTTCTTAACACTAACAACTTCCACACACTCCCTTCCTCCCATCCCATCAATCTTCACCAGATCTTCATTAAAGGTAAGTGTCATGTATTCTATTCTTAGTAGCTTAGTATGTGTGGATGTCTTCTTCAGTTTGTGTGTATTAAAATTAATATTTCATGTGGTAAAAAATTTTTTTTTTTCTTACTTTTGGGTGTCTTGCATGAATTAATTTGATTTCCAATATTTCTTATGGGGAAAATTAATTTGCCTTACGATAATTTCGGCATACGATGAGCTCTCAGGAACGGATTAATATCGTATGCCGGGTGTCCACTGCATATATACGTCTAACACGGTGGCTCTTAAGACGTATATATACGACTGAAACAGTCAAGGGTTAACTTACACTTTAGTGAAATTATGGTTGGTAAAGTCTTGCTTTACTTAGTGATTATGCTTTAGATTTATTTTTGGTATTTGGTATATAATACAGTGGACCTCCGACATTCGATGGCATCGACATTCGATAAATCCGACATTTGATGCATTTTAATGCAAAAATTTCGCCTCGACATTCGATGGAAAACCTGACATTCGATATGATTCGTATGAGATGTGTCCACGTGTGGCCTGAACTGCCCCGTGTGTGCCAGTGTTTACAAGCCAGCCAGTGTGCGCGCATCTAAGGATACATTCGGTACATTCCATATTATTCATATTATCACTGTTTTTGGTGCTTATTTCTGCAAAATAAGTAACCATGTGCCCCAAGAAAGCTTCTAGTGCCAACCCTTCGAGAAAAAAGGTGCTAATGACTATTGAAATGAAAGAGATAATTGCAAAGTACGAAAGTGGAGTGCGTGTGTCGGAGTGCATGATGATCTGGTAAAGAAATTGCCTGCAACTAGTGGTGATGAGTGAATTTAAGGCCAGCAAAGGTTGGTTTGAAAGATTTAAGAATCGTAGTGGCATACACAGTGTGGTAAGGCATGGTGAGGCTGCCAGTTCAAGTCCTAATGGAAGGGGATTCCCCTTCAAAACACTAACACCATCCACACACTCCCCTCCTCCCATCCCATCAATCATCACCAGATCTTCATTAAAGGTAAGTGTCAATTATTCTATTGTTATTAATCTATTGTTATTGTTGTTATTGTAATTATTTTATTGCATTAAACTTAATATTTCATGTGGTAACAATTTTTTTTTTCATACTTTTGGGTGTCTTGCATGGATCAATTTGATTTCCATTATTTCTTATGGGGAAAATTAATTTGACTTTCGATATTTTCAACATTCGATGGCTCTCAGGAATGGATTAATATCGAATGTCAGGGGTCCACTGTATTAAAATATCCAATGAAACCTTTCATTAATGGATTTTGGCAGTTTTGGAACCCCCCCTCCCCCCAAAAAAACAAAAAAAAATTAGATGAACATTGGAAGTATTGGACAAAAGTCTGTTCCTCCGGATTTTGTCTTAGGCGATAGCATCCAGATGTCTAATGAAGTATTGGACCAAGTTTGATGATTTGATGTTTATCCAGTACTGGCCAAAGCAGTTATGTCCAGAACTCAAGTGTTTTGTTGAGTGTAGGCCAAAGTGGCCATGTCTAGGACCTGTCTGTTTTCATTGTTTCCTAAGCCATAGACTGCCCTTACTAGTTTGTGCTCATTTGCATATACACTCATTCTAATTTTCCTGGGATTAAGAACTTTTGTGTGACTTTGTTAACATATTGAGTAAAGTACAGTTAACAATGGTTTCTAAAGCAAGTGGCAGTTCTAAGAAAATTAACTTGCTTTAGAAAAGCAGGTAGAAGTTCTAAGATGAAATATGTGATTCTCAGTATTAAGCAGAAACTTAAATTAATAAAGAAGGTTAAGTCTGGTATCTCAGTAGCACAGGTGTGAGAAGAATATAGTGTTAAGAACAATGCTGTCCATAGCAGCAATGACAAACTTAGACTGTACTCTTCAGTTTAGTGTAGGTGTTAGCCATAAAGGTTAAACAGATGGTCCTAGGAAGGACATAAAAGTAACCCATGATAAAGAGCCTGAAGCGGTGTATAAATGGTGTTTACCAACGTTCTATCAGTGTTAATGTTTATGGTGTTGGTCTTCTCTGCTGCTGCTCATAGGCTAACATAGAACATGAACTTGGAATTTCAGACCAGTACTGGTTGGCTTTGGTGTTTCTGTACCTGTCATGGCTTGAGTCATGTGAAGACTTATGGTGGGGCTGGCAGTGCACCCATGGATGAAGTTGAGCTAGTGTGATTATTGTTAAATGATCTGATAGTGAGAAACTCCTACTATCTTTAATGTTGATGAGACTGATCTAATTTGGTGTTTGCTTTCTTCCAACATATTGAGTCATTTAGCATGAAAGAATACCAGGCTGTAAGCTCAGCAAAGACCACTTTTTGTTATGACGTTGTGCTAATGCTGATAGTTCTCACCGTTTGAAACTGATGGTCCCAGGTATATCAGCACAGCCTTGTGCTTGAACCTTTTAACTGTGTTCAACATAATAATATAACCTGAAGTCTTCCATCTTTAGCCATGTAGCATCATGGAAGGAACTGAAAAAGAAAACATTAGCCAGTTGTTTGAAAAAATTGTTTTAGAACTTTGGTATTGAGTTGGACTTTGAGGGGTTTGAAGCCGGTGATTTTCATCGTACCCTTCAGAAGGCTGGAGGATGATGTGATGGCATATTTGAAAGAAAATGATCCTGGTTTGTAGATGTTGAGTGTCACAGAAGTTGTAGAGCAGTTTCTTGGCATAGAATAACAGGATAATGATGACAGATTGAGAGGTCACCAAAACTGTTGGTTGTACTAGGTGGGAGTGATGCTCTTATCAAGTACACTGACGTCTCTGACAAAAGTGAAATGAAAGCCCATTAATTACACTTAAAAATTCTTAGATAATCTATCTTAAATGGCCAACATCAGTCTGGTAAACAATTGAAGCTGGCTATATTCTTTAATCCTGTTACACTTTCAACGTCTTCTGTACCATCTGTGGCTTGGCCACTTATTTGCAAGTAGAGCTTTATGACTCCTCTGACTTGGAATAGTGATTGAGTCACCAGTATTGATCACAGCAGTTTAAATCACTTGTCTTCACCACATAAAGTAAGCAAAATTAATATAAATTACATATACGGGTTGACCATCACTAATCTGGCATTTGGACCTGTAGTGTGCTGGATTAGTGAGTTTGCCAGATTACAGAATGGTTAGGTTAGAATACACTTAATTAATGTATCAATATAGAGACTGCTACATCCTCCTCATTTTCATCACTACTTTCTCCTCTACTGGCTTGCTGCTGTGGATTTACAACCATCTGCACAGTTTCTGAGTCAGTATAATGATGAAATTGGAGATTACTTTGCTAGATGAAATTAGTGCCGGATTACTGATGGAACCGGATAACTGATTGCCGGATTAGTGATGGCTGACCTCGAGTACAATAAAACTACAGTACTGTACTGTAGTACTACAGGCTACGATACCCATATGCTTAGTGTCTGGGTCTTCTTCATCAGTGGATCAAGTGTGCTAGTTCAGAAGACAGTGGGACGATCATGAAAGTTAATTTCATAATTTGGAGTTTCGGATTATCGGCAGTATCGTCCTATCCTCCTTCCCTCCAATTAGTTGGTTAATGAGAGGGTTCACTGTATTGAGTAAATTACTTATACATTCTAAATTTATTAATTTCAAGGAATTTTATAATGTAAAAAATGAAAGTCCAGCCATTACCTAAGTTAACTATTCTCTTATCTCTTGTCCTAGGTAATGGAACTAGAAGTAAAATTGAATGAAGCTGAAAGGGAATACATTGCTGGTGCTCCCACGCGCGACAAACGATCACCGTCAGAATGGATTCCACGACCTCCAGAGAAGTACAGCCTCGCAGGACACAGGGCACCTGTTACTAGGGTGAGCATTGGTACCCGTTTTACTCTTATAATACATAAATAATTGAATATTTATAGCTTTTATGGAGCTAGGTAATCTTCAGTTGAGGAGACAAATGATTTCAGGCTTGGCTTTGGGGACCTATGGTCTGAATTGATCTGTTTAAAATAACAAAAATATTCAAAATGTACATTGTTATGCTCTGTGCAATATAATTCATTACTGAATTTACTCTTTTTGTCACTTGGTAAAACACATGAAAATTCACTGCTGCTGATTTGTTTTCATGTACTTCTTACACAACATTTTTACAACTTGGTGAAATACTTGTCATGAAATTCAAAGGGGAATTTAAAGTTTATGCTTAAATATTGAGACAACTTCAAATTCAATATTATTGTGCACATATACTGTAATGTGTTTATCACTGCTAATTATTGAACACCCAAGTTTATCATTAATGTTGGTCTTTGTTATAGCAGTTTTAGCATATAATAAACCTTGGAAAACTAGTATCAGAGAATTATGGCATTAAAATCTTATAATTTTTTTTCCAGGTAATTTTCCACCCATTGTATGCAGTGATGGTGTCGTCAAGTGAAGATGGCACTATCAAGGTTTGGGATTATGAAACTGGAGATTATGAGAAGACATTAAAAGGTCACACTGACAGCATTCAGGATATAGCTTTTGACCATAGTGGCAAGTTCCTAGGTGCGTGTTAAATCTTAAACATATTGTACTGTATCTAGAAACTAATTGTTGAAAGACTCTTAAAATAGTAATAACACTGTTGCAAACAAACCATGGTACCATGGCAAGGGAGTCGTAAAACTCCAGGCCAATGCGTAAGCCACTGGACCAGTTGGCTGCAATAAGATTCATCCATAAAGTTGGTAGAATTACCGACAATATGTAAAGTAAAAGGACACAAGTGCAACTAATGTGACATTTTATTGTGGCAACGTTTCGCTCTCCAGGAGCTTTATCAAGCCATTACAAACAATACATGGACACAGAGGGTATATATAGGCTCAGAGTGAGGTGCAATACTAGTGAGGTACCATTTCGATGTTCACTAGTGGTGGTAGTAGTAGTAGTGACAAAAGTAATACAATATGGTAGAGCAATTAATTCGTACATGAGAAAAATGATATAAAAGCTTGGGTAACATAAAAATAGGTTGGACAAATATAGACTGGAAAGAGGCAGCTTGTTTCAGTGTTCACTCCTTGTATGTGCTTGTGTAGTATAACAGGAGAGACTATGTGATGGCAGGGTTTACTGTTTTCAGGAGGATTCTTGCTAAGACTTTGGAGATGGTGAAACTGCCGTTGTTTTGTTTAATTGTATTCGAAACAGCGATCAGTGCTGATTCGAGGCACTTGTGTCTACGGAAATTAGTTTCTTTGATCACTAATTGGGCGTCTCTGAATTTCATGAGATGATTGGTGGAATTTCGGTGTTGTACACAGGCGTTGTTCAAGTTATCGTTCCTACATGCGTAAATGTGTTCATTGAGGCGGGTGTCGAGGTTTCTTGCTGTTTCACCTACGTAAATCTTGTCACAGCCTCCACAGGGCATAGTGTAAACTCCTGCATTGACTGGTTCGTGATGCTTGGATTTTGTCCTGGTTAGATCCTTTATTGAAGTGCTAGAAGCGATGGCGACTCTGGTGTTAGCTTGTGAAAGTACTTTTGAGACGTTCAGTACAACTTGGCTGTTGGGAAGAATTATAACTGTTGGGAGTGGTGTTGGTGCGTGGAGAATTAATGATCTGAAGAGCTCTTTTCTTGCAGTCTTTGATGAAAAAAGAAGGAAAATGTAACTCAGTGAATGTTTGGTGAATGTATGTACATTCCTCGTCAAGAAACTCAGGACTACAAATTCGGTATGCTCTTAGGAAAAACCCGATGATGCCTCTTTTGGTCTTGGTATCTTGACTGGAATAGAAGTGTGTGAGATCATTTTTATTGGTGGGTTTCCGATAAACTTGAAATCTAGGTTGTTGTCTACTTTGTGAATGAGGACGTCGAGGAAAGGTATCTTGTCATTGGACTCTTCTTCTAGTGTAAACTGGATTGCCGGTTCAACTGCGTTGAGCCTTGCCTGAAGATCCCGTACATCAAAACGTTTGGGAGTTATTACGAGGACATCGTCCACTGCAAGAAAAGAGCTCTTCAGATTATTAATTCTCCATGCACCAACACCACTCCCAACACAGTTATAATTCTTCCCAACAGCCAGGTTGCACTGAACGTCTCAAAAGTACTTTCACAAGCTAGCACCAGAGTCGCCATCGCTTCTAGCACTTCAATAAAGGATCTAACCAGGACAAAATCCAAGCATCACGAACCAGTCAATGCAGGAGTTTACACTATGCCCTGTGGAGGCTGTGACAAGATTTACGTAGGTGAAACAGCAAGAAACCTCGACACCCGCCTCAATGAACACATTTACGCATGTAGGAACGATAACTTGAACAACGCCTGTGTACAACACCGAAATTCCACCAATCATCTCATGAAATTCAGAGACGCCCAATTAGTGATCAAAGAAACTAATTTCCGTAGACGCAAGTGCCTCGAATCAGCACTGATCGCTGTTTCAAATACAATTAAACAAAACAACGGCAGTTTCACCATCTCTGAAGTCTTAGCAAGAATCCTCCTGAAAACAGTAAACCCTGCCATCACATAGTCTCTCCTGTTATACTACACAAGCACATACAAGGAGTGAACACTGAAACAAGCTGCCTCTTTCCAGTCTATATTTGTCCAACCTATTTTTATGTTACCCAAGCTTTTATATCCTTTTTCTCATGTACAAATTAATTGCTCTACCATATTGTATTACTTTTGTCACTACTACTACTACTACTACTACTACTACTACCACCACTAGTGAACATCGAAATTGTACCTCACTAGTATTGCACCTCACTCTGAGCCTATATATACCCTCTGTGTCCATGTATTGTTTGTAATGGCTTGATAAAGCTCCTGGAGAGTGAAACATTGCCACAATAAAATGTCACATTAGTTGCACTTGTGTCCTTTTACTTTACAAGATTCATCCAGCTAAGTATATTTATACTCCATAGGGAGGTTAACATGAGTCCCACTGTGACCACAAATGCTAACCTCTTCTTTTTTTTTAACACTTTGTCTGGATTTTTTGGATTATCCTAGGTAATTTACACTATAATAACTATTTATATGTACCTGTGAGGTAGAGAAAGACAGAGATCGACAGACAGAGATAGATACAGATAGACAGCCAAACGACCAACCAGCCAGCCAGCCACTCGGCCTGCAAACACGTATTACACGTTACAGAATTTTATCTTTACTTAGGGCATAGGTTACAGGATATTCTGGGAGGATGACACTACCAGTGGTATCAAAATTGAAAGGATGTTGCACAAATGTTGCACTTAGGTTATTATTGAGGTTTTTGATATTTCCTTGTCCACTTGTGGCCACATCCATCTCAGTCACTAAACTCAGGGTCAACATCACTTTTCTCTTAAAAGGGGAGTGCTAATATGACGTGACATCAGTGAATTCCTGGTGTTTGCCACGCTGTTTGCTCTAGCTGGCACTCAATTGAATTGGTGCTCCCACAAGGTACTAAGTGGTCCCAGATTTTTTTTAATACTGCACACACTGAGTGGCAAGACCCATTCTATACTGACCAGGCTTCTCAGGCCAATTGTGCCAAATTTGGGGACAGGAAAAATAAAATGTAAATCTACGTTTGGATTGCTAGTGGTAAGAGCGTAGGTCTACGTTTGGACAGTTAAGGGGTTAAATCTGAATGATGTTAAAACATTGAAAAATAAGAGTTAAAAGTACAGTAATATTGAAGATTGAGACACTTATGCAACATGTGGGAATCTTTATTGAAGAAACGTTTTGCTACACAGTGGCTTCATCAGTCCAATACAAAGCAGAAAGGTGTAAGGAGAGGAGTAGTTTGAGGTAATCAGTTCCTCAGCCAGGAATCGATGTGCTCAGTCCATCACTCTTGTAGAAAGTACAGCATAGGGCCAGAGAAGTGGCTTATATACTGTAGTCAGGGAAGTCGAAACAGGAGGCGTGATACAGTGGAACCATCTGCTAGTGTAAGTAGGTCTTCATTCAAAGGTTGGACAAGTGTTGAAGAATTCTTTGTATCAGGATCCCATGATGTTAGTGTCCAACCTTTATTGGATTGATGAAGCCATTCTGTGGTGAAACGTTACTTCAATAAAGATTCCCATGTGTTGCATAAGTGTCTCAATCTTCAACTTATTGGTTTTCAAAACCATTTATCACATATATTACAGTAATACTATTTACCTTTTGTAATGGATGGATGAGATTGCTGTGCTATGCTGTGCAAATAAGCAACATGAGGTCAAGCTCAAAGACAGATGTGCCACACACAAGGTCATTGTGAGAGTTGGTCACACTGTTATAATTTGAGATTGAGTCTGGTGAGGTTAGGTATTGGTGGGAGCAGAGAGTGAGGGTAAGGTGACATAATTATTTTTATATGAATCTTAGCCAGTGGGAGCACTAGATCCAGCCAACATGTACAATACACTGTTTTGCTCATTGTTTTGTTGAGATGGGTCACTGCTGCTTCTGAAATTCTGTGTATGGCTGTGTTATGCTTGTGGTGTAACAGTTGTGCTCTTATCCAGTCCATGACATGAGAATGAAGGTTGTGATGGACTATGCAAGCATTGTTTGTTTAATCCTCTCAGGGTCGAGAGGCCCTCTCCTAAACTTGTTCTCAGGGTCGAAAATTTTTCAGAAAAAAAAAAATCTTATGAAAAGATAGAGAATCTCTTCCCGATCATAATGACACCAAAAGTATGAAATTTGATGGAAAACTTATGGAATTATGCTCTCAAGAAGTTAGTGGTCTCGACAGTGTTTACGCATTGGCGATTTTGTTCACTTTGAACCCTATTTTCGGCCAATTCCAGTGTACTAGTTGACGAAAATCATAACTATTTCTCTATAACTCCATTTTTTCAATCAAATGAGTACAAGAAACTACCCATTTACCGATTTCAACTATCCAATAAAGTGGTCAGAAATTAGCAATTTTGCCAATTTCACACAAATTTCAAAAGATGCCAATTTCCAAATAGGGTCCAGAATAAACAAGACAGACATTCCTGGCACTAAAATAACATTTCATCTGTTCATTAGTCACGTCCCTAGGCCCCTCTTATATTTCTTTTGCTGTCCACTCTGAATTTTTATTCTCACAAAAATAGAAGATTTTCTGTTATGCAGGCTATTGCATTAGTGTAGAAATGGTATAAATAATATCAGCACACGTGTGAAAGAATATTAGACTCGCCAGTTGACGTGTATTGGACACGTGGCATGATTTATTTACTTTTGAACTTCGGCAAAAATTGAACATTTCTGCTACTTTGAGCTCAATTTCAAGATACTTTTCATTATGAAACCAATCAGAATCATCTCAATTTCTGTAATATGTCTTCCATACTATAAAATGAGACCAGGAAAACTGGAATACAACCATAAATACCATATGAAAATACAGTGCAAAGTTGCTGTTTTAAACCAAAAACATGGTCAAAGTTTTTTTCTCATTACGCACCGTGTGCTGCAGGATTTTTTTTTATACTGTGCACACTGACCATATAGACCCATTCTTTCATATGTAGGCCTACCAGCTTTCTCTC